ATCAGAACTGCATGCTCTAGATGTCAACCGTGTCCGTTTTGAACGGAGTAGACATGGCAAGGTATTTTTGGGATTGCGCATGGATTTTCTCGCAAAAAAACAGTCGCCGGGTCAACCTGATCGTCTTTTTACAATCCCGCCTTTGTCTACCATATTGGGTCCAGCAGATGTCGAAGATCTGTCTCTTTGTCCAGTCAGAGCACTTCGCATTTACCTTAAAGCATCGCAAGAGCGCCGCCGTCTGCGTAAGAGACTGTTTATACCTTTGTCTACTGCTTCCAAGGCGGAAGTTTCTCGCACAACACTCTCATACTGGCTACGAGCTACAATACTACGAGCCTACACTTTTGCCGGTTTGCCACCACCTACGGCAGTCAACCCTCATGAAACCAGGGCATTGGCTTCTACTATGGCGTTGCATAGCAACTGCTCGTTAACCGCCATAATGGAGGGCTGTTTTTGGCGATCTGACACGGTATTTTCGTCTCATTACTTCAGAGATGTGTCGGTGACGGATATTCAAGGCCTTCATCAGTTTGGACCACTCGTCTTTGCCCAGCAGTTATCAGCGGCACACCATTGCAGATAATGAATTTCCTTGGGCTACGATGCTATATGGATCCCACTGTGCAGTTGATCCCAAGTCACGATCGTTTTCTGCTTGTGTACAATCTGAATAAATCTGAAAACAAAATTTTCTGGTTTACGTCTTTGTTTCTTCCGGGATTTAGATTTCTCCTCTCATTTGTTTGAGACTACAGAGAGTCGCCACCTCACTTACTGTCCTCTGCTCCACGGAGTAATTAAGTCAGTGAAGTGAGTCCTTCCCGAAGTGTTACACTTCGTAGCGTTCGTGCTCCTAAGTGCCTATACACATCTATGTGATCTTACTGTGGTAAGTAGTGGAAGTCATAAGATGATGTTGTGGTACTGAACGTTAAAATTGTGAGTTTTTACCGATTCAATTACCCTTTCACCCTCCTCGTGACGGTGTCTGTGGGGGTTGTTTCGAAGCAGGGGCTGGCCCGATACTAGTCGTTCGACTTTTATTACGGGGGTACCTTGGAAATCGTGGCGATGCGACTGATTACACTCGCTAAGCTACGTCCTTTCACTTTGTGAAGGTAGTGACTGAACACCACATTGCTCGGGAATCTCGGTCCCTGGGAGCAATTGTGCTTAGTAAGTCAAGGGGTTCGCACTAACCCTTGCACGTAGTAACTTGGTAGTTATTGTCCTACCTTGTAGTTGCTTCCTACGGTTGTTTGGGCATAACGCTTAGCTGTTATCGCTTGAACTTCGGGTAATCTATGACCCACCTTCCTACCGTGGGATAAGTGCAAGTCGTGAGATAGGATAAGTTTAAAAATTTGGAAATTTTAACTATAAATTGTATATTTATATACTTATCCTATCTCACGCGATAAAGTCCCTCCCTACCTCCCCACTACATAGATTACCACCGTTTCGGTTTTGTCCTTTTATGGCTCCAAGATCGAGAATGAGTATGTGAGGTGATCACGTGGGTGAGGACTGCGCATGCCTCGTGCTGTCATGGACTAGTGAGCACGACTGAGACAGGAAGGCACGCACAGCACGGGAGAGGGACAAGGTAGGCCTGGAGCAAAGTTTTAATTCGTTTCCACTCATGGTCGAATGAAGAGAGAGAGGTGCAAGTCGTGAGATAGGATAAGTATATAAATATACAATTTATAGTTAAATTTTCCAATATTGTAATTAAGAACGAAGTTGTCTAATAGTATTGACTGACCGAAGACCATCATATATCTATGTGCAGTGACAAACAATAGGGGTGAAACGGTACGTTCTTACCACGGTACGGTACATATTGTGGTACAAGGCCTTCGGTTCGGTCCGTTTCGGTTCGGTATATGAGCTATGATCATAATGCAAAAAATTGACAACAAGAGCCAAACCTTACATTGTTTAATAACATGGAAATAATAACCATAATCTTTGTTAGTTTGAATGAACAAAACTGTCATTTCATGACTAGATAGAAGGAGTAAGGTATCACTGGAACCTAGGAGCTCACAGCTGTGTGACTAAATAGCAATTAGCCAAGTATGATTAAAAGTCAGTAACATCACATCAACATTTACTGCAATGAAATCACCACTATGTCCCAGAAATGTTGATGTTTTAAAAACATGATACACAAATCAGATCTTGTTGAATGTGACTCTGTTGATGACATATCACCGATAAATAAATGAAAGAAATTAACACAACACAGTTGTCATAAGACAGTTACAGTCTGTGTGACAGATCATTGTCCTTTCTCTAAATCATTGTCTATCTCTTGTTTCAGTCTGTTAAACATTTAGAGACTTTCCACCGTCCCTGGGAAGTACTGATACACAATCTTGGCACATTCCAGAATTTTAATTTGTTCAGTTTTCATTCAAAATATCTTTGAAAGTTCACTTAGAAATGTAATTCTCCTTTTTGAAACAGGTACGTTTTGGCTGCTTTCTCTTGTTACACACATAAGGCTTAGAACTGTGATGGGAAAGCCACCAGATCCATACCCATAATTGCAGTCATCCCTCGCCTCCCTCGTTATGCATAACACAGAATAAAGTAAAAATCGTATTTTCCATACTGTACTGTACTGTAGACATAACAGAACTGATATTTCGTGTGTATTGTGCCTTGTCAAAACTACATCGTATCGTTGTAGGTGAAGAAAAACTTCGCAAATGAAAATAGATATGTGTATAGGAAACCTGCAATCAAACATCACAACACATGGTAATTCAGTTTTCCTTCCCGTTATGCTACCTGTTATTCAACTAAGCCGGAAATAGCAATTAGCTGTGTACAAATGTTTTGCTCCAATCTACCGGTGATTCAGTTAAAAACGAACTGAAAATATGACATCAAAGAATTTAGTCCATTAATAATAATGTGTCTATTTATATAGCGCCAAACTCCACACTAGGTATGCTCATAGCGCTAACAATCAAGGCCATTTATTACCCCGGATAACCCAAGCTGCCTGTTAGGCGCTAGAAGGTTATAGTCATATGACTTTTTTCCACCGGGTACCCATTTTTCCTGCTGGTGAGCAGAGACAATTTTGAACAAACTCACTTGCCTAAGGTGAGACCACATGTGTCACATGTGCTTCGTTGTGGGGCAGGACTCAAGTCCTAGAAACTCTCCGGAGTCAAGCTGCCAAACACGGTCACCCATCCAAGGACTCTCCGAGCTCGACGCTGCTTAACTTCACCGATTTGTGACCTGAGCTTTAAGCACAGGACCACGCGCCACCAGGAGAATTTATAAAAACATATATATTTCAAGATTTTAATATAACAGAGTTAATATATATTGCTGTCGTATGAGTATTATGCATGTTTTCTACGAACATATTTAAAATAATAATTAACATAGGCTCAGCACTTGCGTGGCTGGATACATTTTATGTATGAGACAGTTCGACAAGTCACCGTTGACTTCCAATGGAGCATGCCACTTTGATTGTAAAGACAAAATTGTTGGCAATTAATTGTGAAACATGACTTCAATGAGTCATTAACGCAGGTCTAGGGGTAGATGGATGATGAGGCGGTGATCAGTTCGTGATTGCTGAGAATAATGTGAAATTGGTGCTATCACGGTAGTCTCGAAAAGCGGACCCTCATAAACATGGTAAGTGGAAGTGGTATGCGCATAGAATGAGGTGATGCCATTTCACACACACATTTTCTCCGATGTTACCGTAAATAGTGTTTTTGTGAATGAAAATGGGATTAAATTTAATCAAATAACATAAGATCGAGGAAGATAGTTTTATTATGAGTTTTTTTCGATGGCATGTTTACTCGCTCTATAAAACGCGGTGTGTTGCATCAGAGCAAACATGGTGAGTACTCGGCTGATGGCGTGTCTTTATGATAAAGTTGTCTTTTCTAAGTTATTACGATGTTCCGCTGTTCGTCTGATTTGAAATAACTGAAAAAGAAACAGAACCCAGCTACTGATCTGGTATCAGCATTTGCTATCTTGCAGACTTTGTAAGTAGACAACTTGAGGCGATCTCGAACTTACTTCCGGGAAAATAGCGGTCGTCCATCAATGAAATGCATAGATTTTGATGAAATGATTCAGTTTTAAGAAAAGGTTTAAAAGGTGAATAAAATGACGGTACAAAAACCGAAAATACCGAATTTTTGGATTGCATTACGGTGCACCGAACCGAAGGCAGAATACTGCGGTTCAACTAATACCGCGGTATACTGTTTCACCCCTAACAAACAAACCTGCACACATTTTGTACATCATTGCAGGACATATCAAATTAACCTTCTTAAGGATGATTTTATAAGTTGAACGACAAATTTATTGTTAAAATGACATTTTTTGCAAAAGATGTATAATTCAAGAATTTTGTACAGTTTTAATCATGAAGTTGAGTATTGCATTGCATTCCCCATATGTGAAAACATAAGAAAGCATATTTTTTCAACTTTCTACCTTGATAAATGAAAGAGATATGCTAGTTTTCATTTTCAATATGGCGTTGGCGGCCATCTTGGAATTCTTCATTTTGAGGCATTATTGGGCATTTTGAGCTTGGCATATGGCAAATATGGATTCAGCAACCCTATATACCTAAAAGCTTGAATGCTGAAATTAACACGATTTGCCTTCAGGGTTAACAATTTGAGTAATTTGTCCTAGTCTATTATCAATATTGAATCCATTGGCCAGAAAACAACGTGTGTCTGTGTATGCCAGTACATGTTTCACTGATCTTGCAGCAGAGTCCAAAAGGTAAAGTTGACCATTAAATGAAAGAAGTTATAGCAAACAGCTGAGTACTTTTGCTTAGTTCATTTTGCGGTAACAGATTCAACCTGATCGGTTCTTTTGTTCCCTGCGTAGAGTAATTACATCTCTGGCCTTAAGCAGTGAAATGTCGACTCTTGAAACCACCACCACCTTTAACGATGACTGTTTCTCTTTGCCAGTGTTGTAAGGGCGTCAGATATCCCACCCTCCGAAGCGCCATGGGCCCTCAGGGTGATCCATACACACCAGGAGTACAAAACTTACCTCTTCTCTGCCTCCTCTGAGATCGAAATGAAGGTATGTATCCTTGTCTTAGAGAGAGAGAAGGAAAAGAGTGAGAGAGAGAGAGAGATTAGTTACTTGTTTCATGACACATGTCAGAAATCGCAAAATCATCATCGTCATGTTATTCAGGACTGGATGAAGAAGATAAAGAAGGAAATGAAGATGGCCAACAACCAGAACATTCGCTCAGCCGCAGATGGACAGGACGATGACAACAGCTCGGAGACCTACCAGGATATCGAGACAAAGATATACGAAGATCCACACTCGTTTGTGATCCCTACAAACTATAGTAATCGGAAGAAGGATGATTGTGAGAATCTCTCCTTCTGTGTTTTGTTTCAATATGTCATTTATTGCATTTTTTAAACATGAGGAAATCAATTATTTCCGTTGCTAATGAAATGATGAGCCGCACATGCTAGTCAGTGATATCTTGGTATGGTCTGAGTTATTTAGTAACTAAATGTGAACCACTTTCTGATAAACTGCAATTATAAGACTACCCATGAAAACTATTCACATGACAGGAAAACGTTTCATTGTTTTCAAATATAAATCTATGGTCCCTGCAAGACTATGTGTTGTGTGTCTGTTACATGTACGACTTGGCAAGTCTCCCTACGGTAGCTCATTTGCCCTCCGTGTTCGCAGGGACTGATTTGTTGCAAGACCCTGCAAGACTATGTGTTGTGTGCCTGTTACATGTACGACTTGGAGAGTCTCCCTACGGTAGCTCATTTGGCCTCCGTGTTCGCAGGGACTGATTTGTTGCAATTTTTATTGTCAGTTACTGATGATGATGATCTCTACCGACTACGAGAACCAGCAGCGCCCCCTGTACCCCCGAGAGAGGGAGCCAGGACAAAGAAGGCAGGTAAGGCACTCTGGAACCTATATACTATCTGTATGACAAATACTTTTGGTGAGACCAAGTTGATGTAAAGCCTGTATGTTTGTCTGACAATGGTGCAGGTTTGATTCTTCATGCAAGTTTATCTGCCAAATTTTACATCTGGATTTCGAAGTTGATGGTTAACTGGAAGTCAGTTTGTAAAGGAATTTGGTGTGATACATACATGTTGTACAGTAAACAATTGTATTCTTAAATACAAATCAGTACAAGTAACAATGGCAGTAAAAACTGACTGGCAGTACATATGCAAATAACACATTGGTTAGTTGATGCCACACTCAGCAATATTCCAGCTATATGGCGGCAGTCTGTAAATAATTGAGTCTGGACCAGACAATCCAGTGATCATCAGCATGCACATCGATCTACTAAATTGCGATACTATGACATGTGTCAACCAAGTCAGTGAGCCTGATCCCATTAGTCGCCTCTTACGACAAGCATGGGTTGCTGAAGACCAATTCTAATCCAGATCTTCACAGGACATAACACATAATATGAAAGCAGTCAATACAGCAATACAAGACAGTCATACTCACTTCTCGACAGCAATGCACAAACTTCCAAAGTAGGCCTTAGTTGAGAATGCTAGAAAACTGATTTTCACAGCAGCTGGTCTTCGTGGAACATGATATAAGATGAGAGATGAGCAAGACAAGAACTTACCCCTTTGTATATACATATAAAAAATGTTTTCAGAAGTTTCTCTTACTTTCTGTAACTCACTAGGTCAGACTATTCCGGAATATCCACAATACTCTAGATCCTAGCAGCCAGCTCACACACTGCCTTGTACTGAATCTGGATTGGGTGGTCATGTTTGCTTATTTGGTTGATGCATGCTGTGTGCATCCTAAGTGCATAGATAGATGATCTTGATGTTTTAAGGGACCGTTCATAATTTATGGCTATGGGGTGATGATGATTTTGAGTGGGGGTGGGTGGGGGTTCACCCATTTTGTTCTGGGGAGCTAGGGGGTCATCAATTTTGTACACGCAGTACTTGGGGGCTCAGCAATTTTGTACATAAAGTATGTTTAAAATTATGCTTAGAAATTATGGGAAGGGAAGGGGGGTAATTGATTTTGTACATGGCATGTAGGGGGGTCACTTATTTTGTATATAAATTTATGGGGGGTGTCATTCACATTTTTACATGCTTCTCCATATAAATCATCATACCCCCTAACCATAAATTATGAACGGTCCCTAAGCAGTTTTTTCAAGTTGCCATTGGAGGCAACTCCAGGGAGGATCCTTTGAGTGCCATTTTAGAATCTGTTTTAACATTGAGAGCGGAGCTGACTTAATGATTTCTGCTTCTTTTGCATGGCCTTTGTGGTAACATGTTGACTGAGTTGCTAGACTATGTCACACTTAATACATTTGCTATTAATTTCAGAAATGCACACTACAAAAACAGTACAGGATTTATCTAAAGAATTGCATTCAAAGTTGGATCTAACTAAAATGGTAAGTTCATTAGCCTGTCGCCATGGGAACCCTTTATGTCCTGTTGTAAGAAGCTCATGTTTTGGGGCATGTCAAGAAATAACAATAAATTTTCATCACAGAGCTTTGTAGGATTTGCAATTTGTTTGTCTTATCTGTGTAAGGGACCGTTCATTATTTATGGGAGGGAATGATTTTTTTTATGGAGAAGCATGTACAATGTGAATGACCCACCCTAAAATTTATGCACAAAGTAAGAGAGACCCCCCACCACTGCTTGTACAAAATCAATGACCCCCCATCCCCTTCCCATCAACTTTCAATAGTTTTATGCACAAAATTGCTGACCCCCAGAGCACATGTATACAAAATTGATGACCCCAACCACCTCCCCAGAACAAAATGGGTGACAACCCCCACTGCCCACCCCTAAAATCATCATCACACCCTGTAGCCATGAATTATGAATGGTCCCTAATGCACGCTTTGACGTTGATGTGTATGTGAATGTACAGTTGTTTTCTGTCCATTCTCTTGTGTGTAGCATGGAAGCACCCGGTACAGACACAATGTCATGAATGTAATGGATGCATCTTGTGCAAACTTGTGCATATGTTTAGAAAGAGCTCCCTTTGTTTCAGCGGTCAAGAGGAGGGTATATAAAGGTATTTAAACCAACCTTTTTTCTGCAAATCTGTCCTCTGTGTTGATGTTGATATATTCAACTGACAGACATTCAGAATCCTTCACGACAATGTCATATCGCTGAAAAACAATGAGGTTGTTCTCACCGTTGATATACTCCTGGAAACGAATAAGGCAGGGCTCGATATAAAATATGTTAACTTATTGCACTGGGTGCAACCTAAGATAAAACACTAGTTGCACCAGCCAAATTCCAGTTGCACTGCCTTTATTGGAATATGTAATGAAAGAAATATGCTATTGAATTATTTAGATGTTTAATTAAGAGGTTTACCCACTCAAAAATTTAGTTGCACCTGGTGCAAGTTAGAATAATAACTAGGTTGCACTTTGTAATATTGGGTTGCACCAGTGCAAGTAACAAAGCACTAAATCGAGCCCTGTAAGGGGACAAATGAAAGTACAAGTGTTCCTTTATTCTTTTCCATAGTATATATATTTTTTGTTAATCGCTTTATACCCAGAGCCAGCTTGTTGGTACAGAAGCAGGGATCAACATGCCTAGCCAGTACATCTTCTGTCAAATATGTCTTGTCATCTTGAAATATCACCTGAGTATATAATTTGTACTCGATTTGACCTATTAAGATTTGATTTCACCTTCCTCAAGTGTCATCTCTTGGTGTGGTTATTGAGTTAAATATGGCCTGTTGTTTGTGTTCTTCCTGCTGCCCTCCTTCCTCCTTCCTATACATAGTCGAATCTTGTCACACATCGTCATGGGAACCATATATCTCAACGTATCGTCATAGGAAAATATAAATGAACACATTGTCATGCGAAAATATATATCACCCTGTCCGCCCATCATTATGGGAACATATATATCAGCACATCGTCATGGGAACCATGTATATCGCCTTGTCAATACATTGTCATGGGAACCATATATCCCTGTTTAAGCATGATCAAGCAAGTGTTTCGTACTTGGCAAAATGGGTTTAGGAGGGGTATAAAAGCAACACATTTTTCCATAATTGTAAGAAATATGATCTGAAAGCAGAGGCCATTGTAAGTAAGTGTTTATTCCAGATATTTGGAAACAGGTCATAAAATACATTTGTAGATTGTAGCCATTGTGTTCGTAAAGTTCCTGTTAAAATCATAAAGGTACAATGATAAAATGTAACATTTGATAAAATGTTGTAAACTTAAAGTGTATGAGTTTTTTTCCAAAATTACATGTTACTTAACGTGCAGCACAAGTGGCCGAGTGGTGCCAGATACTATAGTTATTATCCAGTAATGTCACTGTATCACAATTGTGTAGATCGATGCTCATGCTGTTGATCACTGGATTGTCTGGTCCAGACTCGATTATTTACAGACCGCCACCATATAGCTGGAATATTGCTGAGTACTGCACGAAACACAAATGAAACAAATATAACAAATATTATCCAGTAGATTTGCATGGTGTTTATGGGTTTGAATCCCATATTTACTCTTGTCATGATCTGTGGTGCGTCAGCACCAATATGTTGAACAAGGTTACCTGACGTGATTACACAATGCCATTTAGAAAGTGGTCAAATGCAATGTATGTTATATTTGGGATTACACTTTCTTAGTAAAGTACAGATTCTAGTACTTTTTGGGTTGAGTCCCATCCGGTATTCGAACCCGCACCCTCAGAGTCAGGCACCAAATTGCCAGCACACAAAGTTAGCCGCCTAACCTGTTCAGCCACCGCAATTAGGTGCCTCACTCTGAGGGTGTGGGTTCGAATCCCGAATGGGACTCAACCCAAAAAGTACTAGAATTTGTACTTTACTAAGAAAGTGTAATCCCAAATATAACATATGTTGCGTTACCTGACATGTATAATCTGGACATCTCACCTCCCGTAATGAGGTGATTCAGCCCTCACTCACTCAGTCTGTCACTCTGTATGTTATTGTGTGTAGTTCTAGCAGCACGATCACCTAGTTGTAATCCTGGTACATAGCACTGTCTCCAGGCGACCGTAATGCTGGGTTAATATTAACATGATGAAGTAAGTTTCTAATACTGGACAGTGCTATGACGTTAATTGTCCCTTGTTTGTTCTGCATGCTGACTCCCAGTAGGTTTGAATATATTTATCATAATGTCACTGATATTGTATGTACAACAATGTGTCTGATATATACTAGGCACATAAAGAAACTGTGCATACAAAAATTTAAAATCTAAATTTATCAAACCTGTGTAGACACATAAGGATTTAAACTCAGAGATTAGTGACATGTATCCAACATGCATGCACGTGCCACGCTCCGTGACTTCAGTGGGTTCGTCCTTCAGACGTGCAATATGTTGTTGCACGTGCATTCCGGGAAAGAGAAACAGAGCAAATGAATGCCACACAATACTGTCACTTTGGAAAGCTCACCCTTGCCCTTGCGATCGTTCAAAAAATTAAACAGCTATTGAAATGCATAGCATGCCAAGGCTCACGTCTGCACAACGTCATGAGGCCATTGGGATGGTCCGTGGGGGGAATGTCTCAACGACAAGTTGCTGCACATTTCCACTGCCACCGGAACACCATTTCTGCACTGGTGAGACGCTACCAGAACACAAATGACGTCATCGATCGTCTACGTTCTGGACGTCCACGTGTAACAACGCCAAGACAGGACAGATGGATAAGGGTGACCCACAGTTTTCAGACTGCAGTGATGACTGCCCGAACCATCCCAGGACTTTGCCGTATCCACCCCAACACAGTTCAACAGACCACGACGTCTCGCCATACGGCCGATCCTGACACAACATCATCGACAAGCTCACCGAATGTGGTGCTGAAATCATGTCCACAGACCCTTGTTTTGGTGGAGAAATGTTGTTTTTACAGATGAGTCCCGGTTTCACATTTCCCATAGTGATGGACGTCAACGTGCCTATAGACGGTGGGAGAACGTTATGCACAGGCCTGTGTCTTTGAGAGGAATCGCTTTGGTGGTAGTACCGTGATGATTTGGGGTGGAGTAACAGCACGCCAAAGAACTCCTTTGGTGATTGTTCAGGGCAACTTAACTGGTGTGGGCTACAGGGATCAGATTCTTCGACCTGTGGCAATTCCTTTGCTGCAACGTCATGGCCCTGGGTTAACATTCCAACAGGACAATGCCCGCCCTCATACGGCAAGGGTTGCTATGGATTTCTTGCAACACCACAACGTTGACTTACTGCCTTGGCATGTTTGGGACTAGATGGATCGACGTCTACGCCGTCTTCCTCATCCGCCAGATAACGGCCATGACCTTGCAACAGAACTTGAGAGAATCTGGCGTGCCATCCCACAAGCCTTCCTTGCACGTTTGATAGGCTCTTTGCGTCGTCGATGCACTGCTGTTGTCAATGCCGTTGGTGGACATACCCGTTATTGAGCTTGTGACATGGTCGTTTGACCCCTGTCCCGTTTATGGACTCATGACGTCATTGTGATTGACTTTTCAGTTGAAATTCTCCCGACTTGTTATGGTCCCTCCATTAAAGTTTATATGTACCTTTGACATTGTTATCGTACTTATCAACTGGGATAATATTTTGACAATGCACAGTTTCTTTATGTGGGTAGTATATGTACAACAATGTGTCTGATATATATATGCAACAATGTGTCTGGTATTATATGTGCAACAATGTGTCTGATATTACATGTACAGCAATGTGTCTGATACTGATATTGTATGTACAACAATGTGTCTGATATATATATGCAACAATGTGTCTGATATATATATGCAACAATGTGTCTGATATTACATGTACAGCAATGTGTCTGATATTACATGTACAGCAATGTGTCTGATATTACATGTACAGCAATGTGTCTGATACTGATATTGAAAGTACAACAATGTGTCCTTCTATGGAGGTGGCCTTAAAGGTAATTAATTGTGTCTTGGGTAAAAGTCAAGATGTGATTTTATTGAAAAGTCTTTCACTGCCCTTGACCGGGACCTTCATGTTGTGGCTGTGTGCATATGGAGCTGTTGTTTTATGCTTCTCTAGAACCAGGAATCCATCTGTCCGAGAACTAGTGGTGCAACCAACACACAACCAAGAAATGGGCTGTATTTAGCAATTGTATTCTAAAATTGACTAAACCTACAAATCAATACGAATCACTATAAAGGTATAGATATGGCAGTACAAGAAGATAGCATGATACAAATTGAAAAGTATAATCACATAGTGATTTAGCAATGAAGACAATGATGATGATATTCACTTCTCAGTAACAGCTATCTAAATTCTGAAATTCGGTCCAGACAAGATTATCTCAGGGTAAAGAGTGACAACACGTACAGAATGTGGCTTGAGATGGAATTTCGAGATAAGAGGCAATTGCCAGCTCCCAGTAAATACACAAGAACAAGGCGCTAGAAAATTCTACACTTAGGCAGATGATTCCGGAACAAGCTCTCCAAGTCTAAATATAATATACCACTACCCCTTACTGAATGTACAGATACGATGTATAACAGTTGAAACAATGTTGCACAAGATGCACATAACACATAGCCACAGTATGATAATATTACTGCACATCAAGCAGTCATTATATATTTATACTTATTTTCCAGGGCACAGCAGGAGAGACAAAAAGGTATGTATACTCTGCCCTGCTATTGGTTGGAAAAACAACTTACCATCATTCAAGGAATAATTATTGACAATATGATTGTTTGCGTTTTAAACGTGGCCTGTATTCATGATTTTCTGTTCCCAATACTCTTGTTTAGGATTTGCATATTGACTCACCATTTCAAGACTTGGCACAATGACTTACCATTGCAAGACTTGGCACAGTGACTTACCATTCCAAGACTTGCCCCAATGACCTACCATGTCAAGAACCTGACTTAATTTTATTCTTTTAATCTTAATACATGATTTACAATAAAATCACAATATTCTGGACATCTTGATTATTGAATAAATGCTGTAGAGTTTTCTCCTATGTGTGTGTGCATTTCTAAGCGTAATCATCCAAGAAAACTCACTTGGTCCGATATTTTATCAACATTAATTCAAAATACAAATGATAAAGACATCTTATGGGTTGTGCAAATTGGCTTTGACTTTGATGAATTTGACAATAATCTTTCAGACCAAAGAGGGGAAGCCCAGAAGGAGCCAGTATTAAACAAAAGACTACCGAAGTGGCACATGGAGTGAGTTGCCAGGAACCATGACAGTCCCGAACACTCCTTATAGTAACATCACACACACAGAAATCCTAACACTATAGTAACATCACACACAGAAGTCCCTCCCTCATAGTAACACATCATCACACACAGAAGTCCCTCTCCTCATAGTAACATCACACACATAGAAGTCCCTCTCCTCATAGTAACATCACACACACAGAAGTCCCTCTCCTCATAGTAACATCACACACATAGAAGTCCCTCTCCTCATAGTAACATCACACACACAGAAGTCCCTCTCCTCATAGTAACATCACACATAGAAGTCCCTCTCCTCATAGTAACATCACACACAGAAGTCCCTCTCCTCATAGTAACATCACACACAGAAGTCCCTCTCCTCATAGTAACATCACACAGACAGAAGTCCCTCTCCTCATAGTAACATCACACAGACAGAAGTCCCTCATAGTAACATCACACACAGAAGTCCCTCTCCTCATAGTAACATCACACACAGAAGTCCCTCTACTCATCATAGTCCCTCTCCTCATAACATCACACACAGAAGTCCCTCTCCTCATAGTAACATAACATCCCTCTCCACAGACAGAAGTCCCTCTCCTCATAGTAACATCACACAGACAGAAGTCCCTCTACTCCTCATAGTAACATCACACAGACAGAAGTCCCTCTCCTCACAGAAGTCCCTCTCTCTCATAGTAACATCACACACAGAAGTCCCTCTCCTCATAGTAACATCACACAGACAGAAGTCCCTCTACTCATAGTAACATCACACAGACAGAAGTCCCTCTACTCATAGTAACATCACACACACAGAAGTCCCTCTACTCATAGTATCATCACACAGACAGACGTAGCATGCGAATGAGGAGGAAAGAAACCAAAAATATTGTATGATTTTGTTTCAGGCAATAGAAGATGAGGAAGAGGAAGAATACACCCCGGAGAAGTATTGGTCAGCTATCCACTTCGTGGGCACAGAAAAAGAAAAAGCTAGCGAGTATGTGACTCAAGATGCTAACTTCATTTATGTGTTTTTATGCCCCCGCCATATATGGCAGGGGGCATGTTGGGTTACCCTCCGTGTCTGTCTGTACGAAACAGGGAATGTATTCTATCCACTTCTCCCAAAAAACTCTCTGTGGAATTCAATGAACTTATACATGGGCTTTCTTGGGACTCTAATGGTGTGCATCTCATATTTTGTTTTTGTATTTTATTGTTTTTTGTAAGTTTAGAGACATTTGAACTTAGGTACATTTTGCTGGATTTCTCTATGATGATAGTGTAATAGGGGATGAAGTCTATCCACTTCTCCACAAAAACTGCTCAACAGAATTGATTAAGCTTATACATGTATGTTTCATTGGGACTCGAAAGGTGTGCATCTCATAGTTGCATAGATGTTTATTGAACTTGTTAGTGAATTTTGTTCAATTATTGATCTTTATATGTCTTATGAATGTCAGCGGGGGCATCCGTGTCCCTGGACACAATTTTTTCTTGTTCAGAATTGTTTCTCATCAGTAGTTTCCGCAACCTATTTTCATATAGTCAGCAATATTTCCAAACAAAGTATAAAACTAATCAAGTCTGGCAATCACCTGACGGAAGGAATGAGCATCAATCTGTATCATCAATCTGTATCATCTGAGCACAATGCACCCCATGAAGCAGATGACAGCACAACCAAGTCCCACCCGGGGTTCCCTCAGTAAGGCATGTAGTCACCGCACACAATGTCAGCGATCTAACTGACTTGGTCGCTGTGACTGCCACAAATATATCACTTCTTGGTTTCAGCCATGGGAACCGTGCCAATAGACACTTGTCAGAGGTACACAAAGTCTAGACTACCAGCTGTGAGACTTTTTTGTTGTTGTAGAAACCCATGTGGCTGAAATTGCAAGTATTGTGCACTGGCGATAAGGTGTCTTACTCAGACGATCCCAGATGGAACTCAACTGATAACAGCGTTCTCACAATTATGACATATGTTGCATTTAAACACTTTCTAAATGGCATTGTGTGTTCAATTTTCAGTATCATCCGACAATTAGGTGAAGATGGAGTATATTTAATCCGGGATGGAGCTGAAGGAGGTGTAAGTCTCTTTAATGCATATTTTACATGAATTAGGCTGCTGCTTATGTCCTTTGAGTGGCATTTTAGAAGTGGAAAAGTACTATAGACACACTTTATGGATAACAACTTATCAATGAATTAAAAGAAGTTGTTATCCATAAAGTTTGTCTTTATTGCCTATGTACTGTCACAGAAGAGAAGAGCAGATAGTCCTGCTGTATTGACAGTGTTCATCACTGACTCAGTAATCTCCATGTCGATCACAGTTGGGGCGGTGGGGTAGCCTAGTGGTTAAAGCGTTGGCTCGTCACGCCGAGGACCCGGGTTCGATTCCCCACATGGGCACAATGTGTTAAGCCCATTTCTGGTGTCCCCCGCCGTGATATTGCTGGAATATTGCTAAAAGCGCAGGTTATGAAAACTCAACTCAGTCAGTCAGTCAATCAGGTTATGATGTACACAGTTAAACTGTAACTCCACCAAGTTCCTAAGTTTAGGTTATGATGTACCTCTCTAAGTGCAGGTTATGATGTACCTCTCTAAGTGCAGGTTATGATGTACCTCTCTAAGTGCAGGTTATGATGTACCTCTCTAAGGTGCAGGTTGATGTACCTCTCTAAGTGCAGGTTATGATGCAGGTTATGATGTACCTCTCTAAGTGCAGGTTATGATGTACCTCTCTAAGTGCAGGTTATGATGTACCTCTCTAAGTGCAGGTTATGATGTACCTCTCTAAGTGCAGGTTATGATGTACCTCTCTAAGTGCAGGTTATGATGTACCTCTCTAAGGTGCACCTCCCTAAGTGCAGGTTATGATGTACCTCTCTAAGTGCAGGTTATGATGTACCTCTCTAAGTGCAGGTTATGATGTACCTCTCTCTAAGTGTGCAGGTTATGATGTACCTCTCTAAGTGCAGGTTATGATGTACCTCTCTAAGTGCAGGTTATGATGTACCTCTCTAAGTGCAGGTTATGATGTACCTCTCTAAGTGCAGGTTATGATGTACCTCTCTAAGTGCAGGTTATGATGTACCTCTCTAAGTGCAGGTTATGATGTACCTCTCTAAGTGCAGGTTATGATGTACCTCTCTAAGTGCAGGTTATGATGTACCTCTCTAAGTGCAGGTTATGATGTACCTCTCAAAATTGCTTTAGGAAGACTTTTCTTTTTTGAAAATTTGAAGAATATTTAGTTGTATAACTGGATGCTTGTAGAGTTGTGTCCCTTACCTGTCATGTGACACCGGTGTGATGACAAGGTGCTCTTTTCCCTGTCTGATGTCAGTCAGTTAAGAAATTGGTAAAAGTCTACTTGCATCACTTTGTTTGAATTAAACTGTTGAATCAGCCCCAGATCTATTTCCTGAATGGTTACAGTTGTGCCCCATATCATGATGTTGCTGGAAAAATGACATGAAAGCTCACTCACTCACTCACTCACTCACCATAGGCGGATCCAGTGGGGGGTGCACACACCCCTTTTGTCCAGAAAGTTTGTTAAATGACCATTGAAACTGGGGTGGAAATGAAGTGTGCGCACACACACACACACACACACACACACACACACACACACACACACACACACACACACACACACACACACACACACACACACACACCCATAGTGTGTTTTCCCCCCCTTTCTCAAAAAGCTGTATCCGCCCCTGCTCACTCACTCACTCACTCACTCACTCACTCACTCACTCACTCACCAGTCTGCCACTTAGTCACCCACCCAGTCACTCCCCACTCAGTGACCAGAGCATTTTGGAGCAAAATTGGTTCTCGGGGTAAAAATTTGCAATATTTTTACGGTATCATTGTCTTTCAAACATTTTGGTAACTTGTGTTGACTGTGAGTTTTCTCATTTCAGAAAGTCTTGGTTGTTTTTGCGGGTGATATTCCAAGAAAATTCAAGATAGAATACCAGGTAGGTTCAGTGCATGGTGTAGTTTTATTCAGTTATGCCAACCTACGTTTACTGTTTAGTCTTCGTCCATGATTTCTTTCCAAATCTTAAAGTTTTTTGTCTGTTACGCTTATAGTGACAAAGTAATATCTTGTTGCCAGGACATGTGCCCAGTTTTGTCCCAGTACTACAGGCTTGAAATACCTAATATTAAGTGTGTATGTGTAGAGTGTTGTCCCAGTACTACAGGCTTGTAAACCTAATATTAAGTGTGTATGTGTAGAGTGTTGTCCCAGTACTACAGGCTTGAAATACCTAATATTAAGTGTGTATGTGTAGAGTGTTGTCCCAGTACTACAGGCTTGAAATACCTAATATTAAGTGTGTATGTGTAAAGTGTTGTGCCAGCACAATGTACTTGGCCTACTTGGGCTAGAATTGATCTTCAGTAACCCATGCTTGTCGTAAGAGGTGACAAACGGGATTGGGTGGTCAGGCTCGCTGACTTGGTTGACACATGTCATCGGTTCCCAGTTGCACAGATTGATGCTCATGCTGTTGATCACTGGATTGTCTGGTCCAGACTCGATTATTTACAGACCGCCGCCATATAGCTGGAATATTGCTGAGTGCGACGTCACTCATCATATGCTAATGTTTATTCACTTGAATTTCCATCCCCAACAGAGTAATGGCCGAGCTGTTGGTCTCATAAGTACTTAGTACCATAGACTCAGAAAACTGTGTCACCTTCTCTGCTATAGTTGATTACCTACACTATATACTTGCTGTATGGCCATGCATACTACTTCTTGTCAGTGAAATCCTCTTATATATAATATACACAAATGTTATTGAATGTCTTCAAGCTCACCGATGTGAAAGTCAAGTCAGGTGATGGCTGGTTTGTGTCTGTGAACATCATCTCTGAAATCGCTTGAACAAATGTGCTGATACTTATTTTTTACTTAATTTTTCACCATTTGTATCTTCCAATATGGCCACCAAGGCAGCCATTTTGAACGACCTATTTATGGCCATTGTTTTTCGTTGTTGTTGAAAACCTACTGTTATAGTCTTATATTCTTTGACAATGCATCATTTATTCTCCTTAGAAGGATTTGAGTTGAAACCGTTGTTCATTATGTACATAACAAAAGTGTACAATAAATTCATTTTTCATGAGGGTATTGTTGAAATTTCATTGCATTATTTTGTATTCCTTATTTCTTTTGTTATCATTGATTATGCAGAAATCTGAATAGCAATGCTAGTTTTGCTAATTGATGACTACATATCCAGGTGTGGCACTGTTTTGTAACAGCTGTATTCAAGAAACAGGAAAATGTTTTATTGTGGCCTGACAGAAACTAATGTAATAAAGGTTTCTAATTAATTCCACAACAATATTCCATTTACAAATTACAAATCACAAGTGGGGGGACGGCTTTTGGTTAAATGTTCACTTGTCTCAATCACTCTCACACTTCCTCACTCACTTGCTCTCTCACTCACTACCCTCTCACTCTCTTACACGCTCACTCACTCATACTCTCTCATTCTTGCTCACTTGTTCTCACTCACACTCTCAATCACTCATTGATACACTCATACTCTCACTCATTTGCTCTCATTCACACTCACACTCTCTATCACTCATTGATACACTTATACACTCACTCATACTCTCTCATTCTTGCTCACTTGTTCTGTAGACCGCCTCCGTGGTGTAGTGGTTAGAGCGTCCGCCCAGAGAGCGGAAGGTCGCGGGTTCGATCCCAGACCGCGTCATACCAAAAGACGTTAAAATATGGTACTTGTTGGTCCCTGCCTGGCGCTTGGCATTAATGGTTACAACAAGGACTGGTCGGCTCGGAGTCAATATAATGTGTCTAAGTGGGGTATTCATGCTTTACTGCGGCATGGTATCTCAGTGGGCTAGCACTATAAAACCAGCTTAAGTCTGGGCTAGTACAAGCAGCTGCACATACACATACACACGCATGCACGTCGTCATATGAGCGAAATATTCTCAAGCACGACGTAAAACCCATTTTCACCTCACCTCACTTGTTCTCACTCACTCTCAATCACTCATTGATACACTCATACACTCACTCATTTTCTATCATTTACATTCACTCACGCTCTCAATCACTCATTGATACACTCATACTCTCACTCATTTGCTCTCATTCACACTCACACTCTCAATCACTAAGTGAAACACTCACTCACTCACTCATTTTCTCTCATTCACACTCACTCACACTCTCTCATACACTGACTCACTCATTCTTTTTTCTTTGATTTCAGAGCAGCTACTACTTTCTAAACAGCAAGAAAGACGTGTACTTTCAGACTTTAGAGGAACTTATGCGCCACTACTATGATGAAAACTTACCTGGCTACAAGGTTACCTTATCAACTCCATTCCAGCTCCATCCAAAGTTTAAACCACACATGATGTAGCCTGCTGTCCGTCAAGGTACACTCAAAGTTGATTTGTTTTAAACGCAGAGGATTCTTTTGAGGAGAGTGATTGTTTGGAAATACTCACAAGTGTGATTCTCAAATGGAAGACTCCTTTGCTGGAAGATCAGTCTGGCATCTGTGCTGGAAAGTAAATTCATTCGAAGACAGATGATTTCCAGGGGACATGACTCTCTTGCCAGTTTTGTCTCATGAATTAATTCTCTTTCATTGCTGAGCAAAACAAGAAAACTGTTAATTTATATTGTTTGAGCAAACCCAGCACAAAGACACCCTTTTCTTCCACCTGAAGTGTGTTTAGAGTTGTCTGCCCTTGTTTGTGGTTTCAAGGGTCGCCTCATCAGGATTGACAATGGAAAGGCTTCCAGACCAACAGGGCGTATAACGTAGATATATCAAGATGACTTCCCTGTTTTGTACAACATTGTATATGCCCAAAGCTGCGTAATCCAGTTGTGGATAGAATTCCATTGTTGATAGATACGGTTGGTGATTTAGAACCATCATGGTCTCAACATAGACATATTATTTGCAAAGATTTACATTTTGGTTTTATATTTTAGTTTCATATTTGCGTTACTTTTGTATCTTTTAGCAGAGTCAGTATGCATGTTGGTAATCATCAATGGCAACTTGCCTTGTCTGAGCTAGACATCATGTACAAGGAGTGACTAGTTTATCGTTACAATATTGGTATAAAAAACAAACTGCAAAAACTAATATGAACAGTTTTTTGGTACTTTCTAAATTAACCGGTTAAAATAATATTTTGTAAACTGATGTTTCCAGCATAATAATGTACCAGGAGCAGTGTTGTTTGTGAATTTTCATATACATTATGTGTTTCACAACTATTACTAATCATCCTATATTCAGAAATCCTAAATTAGAAAACCTATTTTATAAACAAAATACAAATGGTGAGGCAGATACATATTTTGGTGACATTTATCTAAATCATTGGAGTCATTTAGGCTCTGAACACTGTATTATTGCCTCCTTTATGTAGGAAAACTAATCTTGTTATTGCTACATGAGATGCATCAGAGCTTTGTGCCTGTGATATTACCTGTGAATGTATCAGAGACGTATCGTGGTGAGTGTTCTTCATATTGCTGCCGTGTAAGTTTCATAAACACCAGGTCTCTTGACAGTATATGTGTCAAGATCTGCGGAGGTTCCTTCAGGTCATCCTAGTGGTGCAGCAATGTGGCAGTACAGCTCATGCTACAGTACATCAGTTTACAACCCCTGTATTGTGCTACATCCTGTACATTACATGACAGGTAATGCTGATGACAATACCAGATTAAGCTCAGAGACTGTTGAACATGTTCAAGGACCAGCTTGTCCCCCGCCGTGATGTTGCTGGAATATTGCTAAAAGCAGCGTAAAACCAAAGTCAGTCAGTCAGTCAGTCAGTCAAGGACCAGCTTATGCAGATTCTCTAGTGTTTCCAGTTAATATGGAATTTTTGTTATTTTTTGTGTTAAGAATTTTGATATCTGATATCTGTCTTTGCTCTTGCAGTCTTACATTTCTTAAACGTTTAGTAAAGATAGTAAAGAGGTCCCAAAACATGATCTTATATTGCATGTGCCCAGTGGAAGAAGGGTGACACACAGCAAGTAACTCTGGACCTTATTGTTGTATGAATGCCCAGCTGTCAGTTGTGTGATACACTATGTGTACTGATACAGTGACAATCAGGATCTCTATGATGTTGAATCATCTGTGCTGCAAATCAAATCATATGTCCAGTCCTATGTTAAACAGTGTTTGCGTTAAATAGCTTTCACAAGTTCTGTTTGGCAACTGGTATGTCTACAGTACCGGTATATATCCACACAGGACATCTCATGTTTCTGGATGGCGATTAAACGTTGTATTTAATGAGCCCTTATGGAGAGTAATCACATGTCCACACAGCAACGAGTCGTAATAAGGTAACTGTTTGGACATGTCCTAGGCAATCAGAGTGTCTTGTACTGAGGAAAGTCTCCATGCTGCTAAGGTCACCAAGCACAAGGATGGAAACTGATCCTGATCTGATCTCAGAATAAAGATTATCCAGATAAGTTTGCCCAAATCCCTAATGGCTATATCTGGCCAGATCTATGAGGTGATGCCATGTCATTTTGTAAATGCTGAAAACAGCGTCTACCTGATCTTCACATTCGCATAATTGTCCAAAGGTGATTCCTGTGGCTACCGTTTTTATCTGTTGCCTTATTTTGCTGATAAAAGCTTGACATTATTGTTATAAATATTGATACATGTATACAACTGAATGGTGCAACATCATGGTCAGTAGTCAGTGGTTGTTTCAGTGTAACCCTTGTTATATGCCAAACAGTGATTAACATTGTATATTTACCGGCTGCTTGAAGAAATACTTACTAGTGGTTGATCCAGAGCTTTTGTTTTCTTGTTTTACAGAATGTGTTGGTCAGTGATATACTAGTGGAGGCGAAGAACTATTATGTCAGGCATAGAAAGAATTGTGCAAGAAAAATGAAAACTTTCAATAAGAGATGCCATTCCATGAAACAAGGAAACTTTTGCGCTTGCCTCCTGCCTTACCTTATGACTTGTGAATGAAATGTTGTATAGAAGAATATGAAATGCACTCTCGGAACTGTTCAACACTTGCTACCTAGTAAATGTTTGTCATAACTTCAGAAGGCTTCATAGATGAAATTCTTTCATTATGAAAATGGTAGAATTATTTCTTGTGCAGTCACAAGTTCAAAATGTGTTAAAATGTTTAGTTGAGACAACAAGACTGAAAGAACATTCAGTCCATCAAGATGAGAAACACAATTTATTTTCTAGTAGGTCTTGATTATTTTTCAAATCTTCAGACATGCTAATAAACTATAAGCCTTTTTTTTCCAAAGATGTGTTTGTCACTATAGATGAAAGATTCATTTATGACAAGGAGAGCTGCACCCAGAAAGAATGTACATGGGAATTGTATGGATGTGTTTGCAAGTTCTATTTCCTGCTACTTACTGCTAGTCAAACTATTTGCCTTATAAAGTACACTGCATTTTGAAGCTATCGTATACAAAAGTAGTTACCCTGTGCCTATGGTCAGTATAGACTGAATGTGCATCACGTGTTGTAATTATGTCACCAGCAGGAAGTCCACCAACACAGAGGCCATTACTGGTGTTTTACTGTGATACTGTGTAAGATTATGGCACTGTGGATATTGTACACTAAGCTTCTAGTTTAATCCATACCAATAGTCAGATTGTTTTGTTCATTCTTTACTTCAAGTGGATTACTCCCCCTTGGTCTATCAGCGCTATATCCTGGCTGATGGAATGTTACCATAGTGATAAATGTCTGTATCGCACCGCATGTCATTGTTGAGATCCGATTGGTTCATGTGATCTTGTTGAAATATCTCACCTGGGAGGGAAATAAATGTCGGGTTTGTAGAATATATCTGTTATACCCTGTGACAAAGAAATCAGGCATGCTTATTCAGCACTTCCAGTTTTTGAGCTTGGTGTCTTCTGTTTATATGTCCAGGTGATGAGTGGATGTATTGTCATGTATTGTCAAGAGTTAGTTATTGTCCAAGTTAGATCATCAAATCCTGAAGCATGCTTTGCTATGTTATTGATGATACATCCAATAGCAAATATTTTGGGGGGGCTTTTCATTTTGAGTACAAAGTTAGTTTCCGACATTTTTGCAGCGTCAATAATGAAAGTACACCCTAGGTAGGAATTTTATAGCTATTACTGAATGATATATGTCTTGAAACTATTACTTATGCTGACAAAGGGAAATTGGCAGCCATGTACTGGCAACAGGTGGCTGTGTGGAGTGCCCATTTTCTGCAGGGTTTGAATCCCAAATTCTCTGTGATTCTGTCACACCCTTATGCCTTTCACTGAAGTGTTATGGGTATAATGTGTGAAGCCCATTTCTGGTGTCCCCTGCCGTGATGTTGCTGGAATATTGCTAAAAGCGGCGTTAAACCATACTCAGTCAGTCAGTCAGTCACTGAAGTGTTAAATGTCGGACACCCTCATCACTTCAGACATGTCTCCCACTGTAAGCGGGTCCACTTGGATGACATACAGCTGATCCACTGAAGCAACTCACTAACTGATATAGTCAAATTGATGCTTCAACAGAGGAAGTAAACAAAATGAAAAATCTGAAATGTTTCTAGCAAAAATATTGCTATATATATGTGATATTTCTGTGTGTGTAAAATCATACATATAATATAATATATAGTAATATACTTTATCAAGGACAAATAAGAGCACACATTTTAGTTGGGGAAAATCTTTATTCAAAGATAGGATACATAGTATCCTTTTGCTGAATATATTGTTGAGGAAATCCCTTTGTTTGATGTAATGTCTAACTATTACCAACTGACAAACCTAGACGCTCTAAGGATTCACAATATGATATAGAAAAAAATATGTAGGATATATATTACCGTCTCCTACCGTCTCCATATTACGGTTTCCTATTCTCGTAAACATGTTTTCTGCTGATATTGCCGATGCGATATACGCTGAGGGGGCTGTTAACCTTGCCAACAGGTAACTAGGAAGTGGCCCAAGTCTGCGAGTGATCAAAATCTTTCAATTTCACGAATATTGGTAAGTTTATACCAACTTGGACATGTCGTAATTTTTCCACGCCCTTTCCGGCAGGATTGCTCTTCCATACACTCCATAATGTTACTTCCTCGTTATACCGCGAGAATAGGATAAGCCTCATTTCAACAATGGCGGATGGCATTGTTTATCACCGGGCTCACGATTGGTAATTCACCTGATGGATCTATCAGCTGATAGATGTAGGTGTTTGGGGAGAAGACCCTTCATTTGAAAACAACTAGTATTCATATGATAATAATTGTTTGTGTTATTTTTTCAGCCGATCCGTAAGTACCACGAGAATAGGAAACGCCTCATAATTGTAGAGGAACCAATTGTGAGTGTATGTGCTGAAGTCTGAATGGTTGAAAAATGCTGTAAATGTGATTGGAAGTCCTGAAATAACCACTACTTTTTCACAGCTTTTGAATGCTTCTCATGATCAAAAGTTTATTTTGACTAGGATAGGATATCATTTTGATACCACTGTTTCAACTTACAAGTTTTGGCACTGGATACCCAAGAACAGTGGTGAGTCTGAAAGTAATGTCTTTGTATCATATTCCAGTTATATTGATGTGATAAGTTCCTTGTGTTTTACCTCAGTGAAGGAGGAATGCTGCTTGTATTGTATACAAACATGTTGATTTACTGTAATGTCTGTCAAATACTGCAGATATTTCCACTGTAAACATATTGTTTTCATATACAAATTACTCCACATTCCAAGGAATATTCTGTTTTATTCTTTCATATCACTATTTACCGCAGATTCTGTCATCATGCTCTGTGCCTTAGAACAACTGAAATCAGCAAGAAATAAAATAGCATATACTGATGGAAGAAAATAAGGGAACACCTTGTAAAATTGCAGTCCTATATTCATACAGTATTCATTAAAATGGTTTCATGCGAATCAAGTAAGTAAATGAGTAAGTAATGTAGTTTTTGGTGATTTTAGTAACTTAGTATATAGTGTCCTGTAAGAACACACATTGGTGGCACAATATGTCACCACAACGTTTATGTGAATGGTCCTTCCATGTCAGTTTGCTGTGATTATTGCATCTCTAGGTCTCACTGCCCTGCACCTGCATCACGACTGATACTGCTCAACCAATAAGCTGACAGGTCATGATATAACATATATATCATTACAAGTAGTGTTATAACGACTGCACCCACTCGTTCCATTACTTCTTTCCTTCAGTATATGTTTATGTGTCAGAACAAAGGTTTTTTTCAGTTTCATATTACCTAGTTGATCCTACTTGAACCCTGTTATGGTTCATAAGTCACACTTTTTACTGCCTACTAGCACTTCTGTTACACAATTGTGGTGATTATTGAAATAAAGTGAGGAGGCACAAAAGTACTTCTGAAATAGTTTCAGTTTTTGTTGATTTTCTGTTTAATTGACTTTGGTGGACAGCTTCGTGTCATTTATGAGGACATTATATGCTTGGCCAGACACAATGTACATTATTGAACAAAGCGTTATGGATAACAACTTTTTGACAACAGTACATTGTACTCATGAAATAAAAGTTGTTATCCATTAAGTTTGTTCAATGTTGTACTTCCCAACTTATAAAAGTGCCACTCAAGGAAGACACGATGTACATGTCAGTGAATAGGGAGTCATTACAGAAGACAAAGGTCAGTACATATGCACTTATCAGTAATAAGTTGAATAGTGGTTGTGGTAGAAGGGATGATAATATAATTATACCACCTTCCTCTTGTGGATAGAACAGAAGGTCTGACCATGAGTGGAAGATGGATGGTTCTGAAACCAGAGGTGGCTGCTTGTTGTTTCTAGTGACTCCCAGGTATCTTGGCTTGTGTACTTGCAACGGATTAGAGATTGCAAATTGCTTTTACACTGAGCCACAGAGGAGAGTAAACATGTCCAGCATCATGTATGGTTTAGAGTTCAGAATTAGGGCATATTAAGATGACCAGTATTCTGTTCTGCTGGACCAACTTTCCAACAGACATGCCAAGCTATTACTGATAATGTATGCTTATATCCTACAGACAATTTGCACAGAATTTCTGTTACAATTACCCATCTTTTTACATTTTTATAAAGTTTTTTAATTTGTTGCATTCTATACATTTCCTGTTGCTGTTCATTTTGACAAACATCTAGAACCCTTGATAATTTCATGTTATGACACCTTCCTGAACACAGCGACGATACATTATGTCAACACGTTTCCTGTTAACACTAGTCTCACTTGTCTCTTCCAGTTAGACTCTACCAAGTGGTAGAATTTACCTCAACAACCCACACTGGCCATGTGCCCACTGAGTCGATTGGGTGGCACAGTAAACTGTTTGATTGGGCGTCATCATTATGAGCTGCTCAAACAGCAATCACGGCATTTTAAAGCCCAGACTACACACTTTATGTAACAATATAGGATGGGGATAGTTTTATGGATATACAACTTAATTATATCTATACATGCTTACAGTGTGCGATATAGTTTTCAAATATTGCTTTCCAGTTTGGCTAGCCATGCCTGAAAGTTACTAGCCCACAAAATAATTCACTTGCCCGAAATTTGAATGTAGAAATTGGTTTCATCAGTACGCTGCTAACATGATGAACATTATATCAGGCCATAATCTTGCATGATTTAAAAGTGTATTATTACTTAACAAGTCGGAGAGAGTGTTATATTTACAAAATGACCCCATGAAAATTCACTAGCCAGTCGGGCCAGTGGCTGGAGATTTATTGGCCCGACTGGATTTTTACTAGCCATGGGCTAGCGGGCCAGTGCCTATTTCGCACACTTTATGTTATAGAAATTGTATACCCATAGAATATAGACCTTTCCAATAAGTTCTTATCTCCCCCTGCTTTATTATACCCCCTAGAGAACTCTTTCGCAAGAGATAGAACGGCGCTTGAGGTTCACTTCCGGAGATGTTTTTTTGAAAATGAACGGAACGAACACGAAACAGCGACATTACTGCACCGTCTGCTCCAACTATGGAGGAAAGGAGATAGAAGGACGGGTAGTGACACTACATAGATTTCCAGCAAATGAATTATTGAAGAAAGCTTGGATTCGGTGGCTCAAATTGGTGAAAAAAATTACAAACACAAGACCACCCAACGCCTTTTGTTCTGAGCACTTCAGGGATGGACATTTCAGACGGAACTTAATACCATCCATTTTCGAGAAAGACGCTTTAACACATACCAGGTAAAGTCAACATAAACATTACACACACGTTCTCAATTTTCGTGTTTTTGGACACTTGAGAAACATTCATTTCTCTATATTTTTTTGGTACACTTACAGAATACCGGATACCTACCAGCCATATTGTTTAGTGTGACGTTGGCCCTAAACCCTAAACCTTACCCTAATCCTTAACCCTAACCCTTACCCTAACCCTAAACCTTACCCTAACCCCTACCCTAACCCTAAACTTTACCCTAACCCTAACCAAAAGTAAACTCGCGTGCTTTCAAAGATGGCGGAAGGTATCCGGTATTCTAACCCTAAACCTTACCCTAACCCTAACCCTAACCAAAAGTAAACTCAACATGCTTTCAAAGATGGCGAAGGTATCCGGTATTCTGTAATCTTACCATTTTTTATATAATGTTTAGTGTCAACCTTCGGACAGAGAATATAACTACATGTATTTGGCAATGATCATGACTGATCTGAAAGGAGATTCATCACAATTTTCGAAAGAGTTCCGCCCGCACCCCCACCCCCATGAAAAACCAAATTACAAACTAACAGGCATACCTCACCCTAAATATAAATTCAGTGAACTAGAACAGGTATAAAACAGTCAGTGAACTTATTTCAGTGTTGGAATAATACACCGTGGAAGGACTCCTGGAGCAAATATGTACTAGGTAAAAAGTGGGGTACATGCGGAACACTTTCCCAATTTTTGGGCTAGTCATGGGAATGGACACCATTCAATGAAGGATGTGTGGCTCAGTCATTGTGAACTTTTTATTTATGAAATTTTCAGTTTGAACACGGCTCTGATGAGAGTACCATACCAAGGAGGCAGCCAAACCAACAGGTGACTGTGGAAACGGGAATGAGCATTCTGTGTCAGACCATCAGCAGATTAATTTGAAGTCCTCGGATCAAGGGTGGAAGCTTCAGTCGTCATGCATGACTATTGTGGACAGATTGAAGATCATATCACAAGTCAGCTTGTAAACAAGTGTGAACAGACTGATTTTCATCCTGTAGGTATTGATGCATCCACTCAGACAGATATCTTGGATAGTTTCTATATGACTGTTTCAACACAAACATTGAATGATGCTATCGAAATTCCGATATCAAAGCCCAAAATGGTTAGTGTGGAAATTCAGTGTAACAAGCCTGTGCTAACATATGAAGATGTCTCCTGCAGTGAAAAATTCTCATTTTACACAGGAATCCCTAACCCAGGAGTGTTTAAAGCCTTATTTGATGAGATGGATGATGCCATAGAGCATACAACTAGAAGTAAGTATTCAAGTGAATCGAATTAGGTCGCCCACGCACCTTAAGATTAGTGGATGAGTTTTTCTTAGTTCTCATGAGGCTTAGACTGGGACTATTACTGGAGGATTTGGCAGATAGATTTTGCATTTCAAAATCAACATGCAGTATCATTTTGACAAGTGGATAGACTATTTAAGTATAAACTGTCTTCTTTGACAGTATGGTCAGCGTCAAAACTGTCATTAAGAAAACAATGCCAAAAAATTTAGAAAATACCCTGATACCCGAAAGTTATCATTGACTGTACAGAAATATTTACCGAAACACCACAGTCCCTGACAAATAGGACCCTCCTTTACTCCAATTATAAGTCGCATATGACTTACAAATCGCTGATTGGTATTAGTCCTGCTGGGGTAATAACGCTTGTATCTGACCTTGGTGTGGCAGTACCAGTGATAAACAGATTACCAAATTGTGTGGTTTGCTACATCTGTGTGAACCTGGGGATTCCATAATGGCTGATAAAGGATTTCCCATTTCTGATCTGACTACTCCCTTAGGAGTGAAATTACACATCCCACCTTTTAAGACAAAAAGGTTTTTACTTAAGAGAAGTGGAAGAAACAAGACGCATTGCAAATTTAAGAATTTACGTTGAAATGGCAATTAAACGTGTGAAGAATTTCAGGATTGTACAGGGGGTCATTCCAATTACTTTGGCAAAGAAAGTCACAAAAATTTGGAAAGTGTGTGTTCACTTGACAAACCTTCAGCCTCCACTTGTTGGCAAGAAGTAATAATACTGAGAAATTTGCACTGTTGAGCTGTGTGCTTTGTATTTCCAAATCCAGCGCAAGGTAGTGTGGTCCTGTGTATATAACTGAGGTCACAAATCAGTTGAAGTTAATCAAGGTTAAGTGCAGAGTCCTTGGATGAATGATGGTGTTTGGAAGTTGAGTCCTGAGAGTTTCTATGACATTAGTCCTTCCCCACAAAGAAGCACCTGTGGCACATGTGGTCTCACCTTATGGAAGTGAGTTTGTTCAAAACTGCCTCTGTTAACCCAGCAAAAATGGGTACCGGTGGTGAGATAAGTCATGTGACTATTAACCTTCTAGCTCCTCACAGGCAGCTTGGGTTATCTGGGGCAATGTAATAAGCAGATTCACATTACAGCTTCCAGTGAGCAACTAGTGAGATGGATACTAGGTGCTATGTAAATGAGTTATTATTATTATTATTATTAAGGTATATCACCCAAACTCAACCATCAGCTGTCTGATTCAGACCATAACATGTGGTCCAAAGGAATTCTAATTTAAACACTGGAATATTAGTTTGCATCTATAATCATGATTATGTAACTAGTCCGTTCATGTTATTCTTACCAATGTCTCCTGGTTAAACTATTCAATCATACTATGTGATTCATGTATTGGTGCAAATAAAACTGACTTTTACATTTTTCAACAGCATTTCAGTTATCTCTGATTTGACATTTACGACAGGACACACCTGGTACTATGTGAAAATTGAGAGCTCTGGCTTATACCGATGAATTATGGGCTGCTTTTAGCATTGCACCCTTCCCTCACTTACTTACTGTATTAGGACAGAACTTTTCTGTTGTAAACATTTCATGCACCCATAGGTCTTGTGTGTGCCTTCTGCTTTTATCAGGTCGGACTTCCATCTAATTAATAATAGTAATAATAGCTCAGTCAGTCACTGAGACACTTGAACATACATATATAACTCACTCACACACTGACCTAAGACACATTAAGCTTACTTAGGAAACAAGTTATTTCTTCATCACTTTCAGTGCCAGCATCTGGGAAACAGCATGTACACTGAAGTAACAACCCTTAATTGATTAGGCTTTCCAAGCCAGGGATTGAACAGTTGAATTCTACAACTGTCAATAACTAAAATTAACAGTTGGTAATAGAAATGAAACACAGACTCACTTATAACAGATACATTTTAATGTCATAAAGCCCTTACTTCAACATTTGTAATGGTAATCATTTCACTGAGTGACATTGCAAGTAATGATATGAAGTATTTCACAAACAAAGACCTGGGGGAAAAGACAGGAAAATGTTTACATTATTATTGAAATGTGAAATAGCTTAAGAACTAAAATTCACATAAGTAGTAAAATTTACATAAAACCACTCAGTGAACGAAACTTTGAATAGTATGTGTTATCAATTCATACATTTTGTCAAGCTTGAATGAAAATGTTTGAAGTGAATAGTCACTATACATGTAGTTTTAAGGAAAGAATCTAAACCAACCACAGTACTCTGGTTTTAACATGATATAATGGACATAGTGTATGTGTACATTTAAAGTCGTTCATGTCCTTACACAGGATGCAAACGCTTTCCTCGTTTCACACGAGTTGTGAAAAGCTCTGGCAGAATGGCTTTAATATAAAAGTCATTGAGTAGAGAGAGGCAGCCCTCCCAGAATCTTGAATCAAAGTGTATTCTTTCCACATGACAATCCTTCAGAGTCCATATGAAAAAATCACACCAGTTCATTTGGGATAGAGCCATTTGTCCTTGTATTTGGTAATAGTATGTGTGGCCAACTTTCAATTTAATTTCTCCTTCCTTGAGCGAAGAACAGAATTGAGGATCTTCCGCTGCCTGGTGTACTGTGGAAAGCCGCCACTTGTAAGGACACTTAATTTCAAGAAGTCCAGTTTCATTTCCAATGTGAACAACACCATCAGGACTGGATCCAAGATGAGGAAAGTCCTGATGCACCATGAAACCACATGTAACAACCTTTGCATTCACATCATGTTTCTTCATCAGATTTGCATATTTTCTCCTTGCAGCCAACTCATGAGTACGTCCCCATCTCAGAGCATCATTATCAAATGGTGAATATGCAAAAATGGTCTTTACAGCATTATCAAGGCATGTAGATGTTTTCAGTTTACAGACAAGGCCAAAATTGGAAGAGGTTAATCGCCCTTCCCTTGCTGAGCTCCACATGTTATTGTTGGCTTGTCCACGTGTGTTCTTCTCAATTGTTACACAGTCTTCTTTTGAGATGGACAAGGCACTGAAATACTCTGAAAAATACCTGATACAATCTTCATTTTTCAAATCACAGGTGTCTGCATAGTTGAAATCAACTGAATGGAGGGGAGGTACTGATACATGGGATTCCTCAGTCATATTGACAACAGACTCTTGAGTCAGTAACCACCCTGCATGTGGAAAATGTTCACAGAGTTTTGGAGCAAATCTGTCCACATTTATGGGTTTAACCATCGATTTATCAGGAGCATTAGTAGCATCTTGCCTTATAGTTGTTGTCTTTTTATGTTCTATCCACTTGTGTTTTGTGAATGTCATATCTTGTGATTTAACAGGACTCAATTTACGTTTTCGTGGCTGGTTCCATTTGCATTCCTGTGAAGTAGATGCATGTAAGCCCTCAAGTTTCTTTTCTGAGATGTCAACCAAAGCATACAGGACAGCAGCGACATGGTTGCAAGATTCTCCTTCACTGAAACAGATAAATTGTTCACTGAATGTCAAATTGAAAATGTACAAAAAACCCCTAATTCCATATCAAATGAGGTAAAACAATACACTGTAGGCATACGCTTTACTTGGATACGGTCCCGCACACATAAATGGAACACATCTGTATTACATATGCCGACAACGAACGCTCAAACGTTATTTGGTTATACATTCAAAGTTGAATCAAGTCCAGAACATTCATCACAATCGTATATACACAAGTATAGTTTGTTTTCAGTAAATGGAATTCATACTTTAGATCTGCCAGATAATATGATTATCGGTAATTTATTAGATCTACTTACCCGGCAGTGCAGTTGCAACCAGCAGCATGTACCCGGCCTGTAACCTTTGACAAGGACACCCACACATCATAATCTGGTTTCTGTTTCATATTCTGAGTTGGTATGGAAGGAATCACTTTGGCATTGACATAACAATGAGAACAGTCCGCGGATATGTGGTGATATCGGACTGTACACTTTAGCTTTCAACTGGCGTTTAGCGTTGTTTGGGTCAGTGTCTAGTGTCCGCTGCTTGCTCAAAACCAAATAATTATACAGATCACTTGAACTAAATGATGGCATAAGCTCAACACTGCTATCCCAGCCATTTTTCAAGCGTAGTGGGTCTGGTAAAAGTTCCCCGAGAGGTGACAGAAACTTCTCAAATCGTCTTTGTCTCACGCTGACCACGTCGTATGTATTGACATCTTCAATCGATCGTTTGCCAAGATCACGTACACCTTTGGCACGCAAAATTAAGTCAGACTTATTCCCTGAAACGTGTTCTCCGTGATTCCGTAAGTAGGTCTTAAGTTCACGCACATTCAGTTTATCAAAATTCAGATTCACGTCTTGAGTTTTCCCGCCTTGTTTCTCTGCTATCGACGCCATTTTGAACTGAAAACATCTCCGGAAGTGTCCTTGATAAAGGGAGATAACACATGGAAGGGGAGATAAGAACTTATTGGAAAGGACTATATCCTCATCGTCCATCAGAAATTTTCCATAATTTGCAATCTGCCCTGACATGTAACATGTTTTAGTGTAGCTATAAACAAGGAAGAAACGGAAAATACATATTTGTTCTTCTCTGTTGCTTCCTAACATCCACAGACCAATAATTTACTAATAAAGCTGTTTAACAAACTATCATTAAAATATTGACACAGTTCACTGTTTGTTACGAGGGAGGAGTGCAGAGAAAGGGACAGCCAGGTGTTCGCGAAGCACGTTCACAGACAAAGTTATTTATTCATTAACCTGTGCTGTGCCGTCTCCAACCTGGCCTACCCTGTCTCTGCACTAGCCATTAGCCATCTTGTGACACATACTGAATATTATCAGTAAGACACATTTTATGGATACCAACTTCTTCAATATACCATTATGGCGATGTTTCCGAAACAGACACTTTTCCAGCTGCGAAGCAGTTATACAATACGGAGACTACTCTGCTTAGCGCCTCTTCATATGATTCTAACGCAGCATTAAACACGCAAGCAGATAAGCTAGGAACGATGGCGGGGGGTAGCATAGTGGGACACAGCGTTCGAATACCCTGTATGGGTACAATGTGTAAAGCCCATGTCATGTGCCACTGCCGAGACATTGCTTGAATATTGTTGAGAGCGGGGTAAAACCATACTCACTCGTCCAGAACATAATACAGTAAGAAAGATGACAGTATTTACATGGATGCTCGAGTCTCAGGATGTCAATCACTGGCCTGTTTGTTCCGACCCCGAGTATTTACAGACCGACTTGGTGTAGCTGGATTATTGCTCAGTGCGGCGTTGAAAATACCCCAACACAAACATCTGCAGCTTTCATGTCTGGTCGCAGAAAATACATTTTTTCACGAGTCCATCGAGTACTACTCGAGGGTGAGACTCGACTCGACCCGAGTACTCGAAATTCATACCTTTCAAGCAAACGATAGCGTAACCGGCATGACATGTGTTCCGATCACACAAGTGAACACTTACTTCTTTCCGACTGCATATCGTCGTGTGACTAACATTTCCTATTGGTCAGAATCAGTATTTGCATGTTTACTTGGCAAACGTTTTTTTTTCTTCGTACTTCTTGTACTGCCTGCAAAACGCAGTGAGATACCGCACAGGCGGCATTTGGTTATTTTGCTCTTTTCACTATCCAGATCAAGATACGCCCATATATTTGATTTTTTTATCTTTCTCCATGTCTATCAATTGTCTATCAAGATAGTTACCTAATCATTTTAAAAAGTGAAAACTCAAACCATGTATAATATTTACTCTCATCTGCAGACTTGTAGCAACTAATACCATACAGCCACACCGTGTGAGGAGTAAACTATTTAATCTAGGTGTTAATAAAAACATCATCAGATGGGTTAAAGAATTCAGGGTACATAGAACTCAGTATGTCAGTGTCAATGGCTATCAATTTTCTTTTCTCTCAACCTCTACTGGAGCTCCACATGGTTGTGTTCCTTCATCCGTACTCTTCGTTTCGTATACCAATGACTGTTACTTGTCAATATATGACTTGTTCACTGTGAAATTCGCAGATGACGCCACTGTTACTGGCCTAATTTCTGATTCTGAACATTATTATCGTCAAGGCATTGACTAAACCGTAATGACAGTTTTTTTATCAAACCTTTATTCAAAGTGTGTTGACCTACAATTTTCTATGTTGGTATGGGGATCTGTCTCATCGCAACAGAAACAAATTTTTCAATTTTGTTAATACTGCTTGCAAAAATTCTGGAGTGTCTTTCGAGTGTACTCCCTTTATCTATGAGCGCCAGATTGTCAAAAAGGGAGCTAAAATTAGATTTGATAGTTGATATACTTGATCTCAACATTTTGAACTACTTCCTTCTGGACGCTGCTGACGATTACCTTCCCTCAAAACAAACAGAGCTAGACAGTCTTTCATACCATCAAGTATTCGTGAATGCAACAAATATTTTGAATCACCATCATGTGATTAGAACTAGAATTATTCAGCCTCTTTACCTATGTGGTTAATTGAATTATATCATGTCAGTTTTATTTGTAAATAGCATTCGTTTTGAGCATGTAATTATTGTGTATATTTTTGTGAACTGTGTATATATTCATTTTGAGACAGTTTGGATGTATAAGAATTTCCTCCGGGATAATAAAGTTATGTCTTATCATAATATTAGACGTTAACGGCCGCTCATGCTAAGCACATGGCAGACAGTCTGTCAACGTCAAATAATCCGAGTTATCTTCCCTTTTCGAGTCCTCGAGTCCTTCAAAATGGACTCGAGTCCAGCTAGACCCGACTCGTCCTCGAGTACTCGAGTACCCGTGGAAGCCCTATTACCCGTACGAAATAGTTTCCAAATTTTGCCAGTCTGGCTAGCTATGCCTGAAGGTTACCAGCCGACAACATAATTCACACGCCCGAAATTTGAATGTAGACACGGGTTTGATCATTAAGCTGCTAATATGATAAACATATTTGTCAGGCCATAATCTTGCATGATTTAAAAGTGTGTTTTAACTTAACAAGTCGGAGAGAGAGATATATTTACAAAATTAAACCATGAAAATTCTCTAACCAGTCGGGCCAGTAAATTTCCACAGTCACTAACCCGATTGGTTAGTGAATTTTTGACATGGTTTAATTTTTTATAAATATATCTCTCAGACCAGTGTCCCCTGTGTATTTTACTTGCCTTTGCCAGGGGCTAGACGGTGTCACCTTTTCGCCAGTGGCCATTTCGCATACCTGCCCATATAAATGTCACGATATGGCTGAAATACTGCCGTGGTGACGATAAATTTTGACTCACTCACTATATATAGGGTTATGGTCGCCGTCCAATAAGTGGAATACTGAATACGTCGCTAAACAAAAAAAATGCATACATTGATATTTGCCGGATTGCACCATCTTGGAGTTGAAACGTGTGTATATGCAGGATGTTCGGTACATTCTCTCTGTACAATGTGGTTGCTTGTGGAATGTTGTCAATGTTTGGTGTGCCGCCATAAACATGTTCGAACACGTCAGTGTCTGTTGCAATAAACACACTTCTCAGCAAGCCTGTTGTACATACTTTGTTCAAGTGCTACGTGCGAGGTCTTGTGGCGATGTGTGTAACAGAGGGTTTAAGTGATCCACAGCCTACACGTGCATGCACAGACGCCGGGGTTGCTAAAAGCCAATCATAAAGCCATGTGATCTCGTCTGTAGTGTTGGCATGATTCTTAAACAACAACTCAGTTGCCACTTGAGTTTAAATGATTTACCATCCCTGACTTGAATAAATAATTCATGCTTTACAGCTGGCTTGCACTTATAGTCAAACAGTTTGGACTACCTGAGTGGGTTTCTGACAATAAGATCGCCTGTCGTACCTCGAAATATGAGAACGAATGCATACCCAAAATTATAACCGTCCCTATACCGACAGGCATTTGTCTGGACAAAGTTAACATAGGCGTAGATGTCTACGTAATCACACGACACTCTCAAATAAGAACACAAAATACAGTGAGTGAGTATGGTTTTACGCCGCTTTTAGCAATATTGCAACAATATCACTGCTGACGACACCAGAATTAGGCCTCACATTTTGTACCCATGTGGGAAATCGAACCTGGGTCTTCAGCGTGACGAGCGGACGCTTTACCCATTAGGCTACCCCACCGACCCCTACAAAAAATAGAAACTACTTCTTTGTAAAATTAGTTTTTCAAACACATTCAGTAGGGCCAGCCTTTGAATTCGCATTTTCTTCCCCGTAACATATTCAGCGTTTTCAAGTGGACTCGTGATGAAACTATATCTGAACGCATTTCTGACATTTACTACATAATTGACCGAATTTACGAACAAATCATAATTTGAGTTGTTCCTGGTCGAGATCCGTGAAGATCCCGGTTAGAATTGGTCTACAGTAATCCATGCTTGTCGTAAGAGGCGATTTGACTTGGTTGACACATGTAATCGTATCTCAATTGCGTAGATCGATGTTCATGCTGTTAATCACTGGATTGTCTGGTCCAGACTCGATTATTTACAGGCCTCCGCCATACAGATGGAATATTGCTGAGTGCGGCGTAAAACTAAACTCACCCCCTCCCTCCTGGTCGGTTGTTGGGCTACAGTGACCGATACTGCGGCTGTAATACTTCATGTACTTGTAAAACACTCAATATATCAGTCCAGTAGGACGTCAGGTTATAGCCGACATCCCGAAATAGCACCTACTGAATGTACAGGACAGGAGCTGCGGTGTAAGAGCAGGAATTTAGTCAATATGTTTAGGAGCTGAATTACTTTTCCACGAAACATAGGTGCTTATTTGAAATTGTTATTTAGAAATTAAAATAACAAACTTATTCTCTGGAAATTTCAACAGAACAGTGTGTGGTATAAGTATCAATTTGAGTAAACCGGGATTTTTTATTGTGTTATAAACTATCTGTAGCATACTGGGTTCAGTTCGGTCAGTGTAAGCCCTTGTTTCTGCCTGCTGCTACCTGTAGAAACGTGTGCATGTAAGAGCATGTAATCAAATGTTAGGTTCAAGCGTGGACAGCTTGAGTTGGGAGCGGCCTCATGAACTACAACTACTACAGCACGTTTTAGAACTAGTAATACTTTTATTTCAGTCAAACGACTTTCAGGAATCATAAACAGGTGTTGTTTCCGTGATCTAGAGTCCAACCTTGAAGCATGCCTCTCCAGCACAAGATCCTGGATGTCTGCTAACAAGCTGAAACTTAACGACTATAAAACAGAAACATTGGTCATCTCCACAATCTCAAGACAACGAAGCCTTATCATCAAAGATATTTCCATTGGGCAATCTTCGATTCCTTTTTCTCCTCTTGTGAAAAATCTTGGCGTTCTTTTGGACTCAAACCTCAGCATGGACAAGCAAATAAACTCATCTAGTAAAGACCTGCCACTACCATCTGAAGAACATCGGCAGCATCCGCAAAGTCCTAACAAAAGAAGCCACTGCCACCCTTGTGCGGACACTGATTTTATCCCGCCTGGATTACTGCAACAGTTTACTGTTCATCTCTTCGTCTCAACTCCATCGTCTTCAGAAAATCCTGAACAAAGCTGCACGCACCATCACTCTCACCAGTCCTCGCTGTCACATCTCTCCCATTCTAAACTCTCCACACTGGCTCCGTATTCGTGAAAGTATTGATTTCAAGATTCTCTGCCTCACCTACCAGTCTTTCTACAACTCAGGACCTTCTTACTTTCAAGACCTTCTGACACATTACTCTCCAGAAAGAACTCTGCGCTCATCACAACAACTGTTACTTGCTGTCCCGAGCTACAATCTAAAATCATTAGGCTCAAGCACCTTTTCATATGCAGCAGCTTCTCTGTGAAACTCTCTCCCTATCGAGTTAAAATCATCTCCTTCCCTAAGTACATTCAAAACTAAAGACTCATCTATTTCTCCGCTACAAGTGACTTCCAATCATCCGTACCTGCCAACTGTATATAGTTTAACTTGAGCTCAGGAAGCGCTTTGAGCATATCCCTGTGACGTGGAAAGGCGCTATATAAATGGCCTATTATTATTATTATTATCTTTCTCGTTTACACCCTGATCACCGAAGTAGGCATTCTGACTAATTTGTTTGTTTGGTTGAGTGTGACAGCAAGCTATTCCCTGGGCTATAAGGAATGTCGTTATTGTCAGTAGTACTTTTGTCTTGGTCCAAGTTTACCCAAGCGGAGAAATCAACAGCTTTATTAATACGTCTTAGATCTAGTCACGGTCGTCATGTGACAAGACCTAGTGCCCAGACAATATGGAAGACAAAGAAATATTCACTAAAATACTAATAATATGAGCGGTCTCGCGGTTTATGTGCTACAACACGCGAGAGGGCTGCGAGACTTGGTGTTTCCAGTATACGCCACTCGTTGGTTCGAAAGCCACATTCGATTTGACTATGATCCTTGGTTTGTCTGCACCATTCCCGTGTTACTGGGTGCATCGGATCACAGCTCTGTTTTGTCATCCCTGTAAAGCCGATCGACGCCTTGTGGTGAACGTGTGTTCGTTGCTGAAGCTACCCGTGAAGATCCGGGTTAGAATTGACCTTCAGTAACCCATGCTTGTCGTAAGAGGCGAATAACGGGATCGGGTGGTCAGGCTCGCTGACTGGGTTGACACATGTCATCGTATCCCAATTGCGTAGGTCGATGTTCATGTTGTTGATCCCTGGATTGTCTGGTCCATACTCGATTATTTACAGACCGCCGCCATATGGCTGGAATTTTGCTGAGTGCGGCGTAAAACTAAACTCACTCACTCGTTGCTTAAGCCGTACCACTCACAGATAGTCCATCTCCGTGAAGGTGGTCTGTAAATACTGGAGTTAGTCTGGACCAGTCAATCAAGTGACTGACTTCTTGATACACCAGTCATGATAGGAGGACCTGCAATCAGCCAATCCACACCGTAAGCTTCTGCAACGTGCATCTCTAACGGAATCCTAAAGTAGGCTGTCTCAGTAACCCTGAACCACGTTATTTTGACTCAGGTTCTGAATCTCTCATCTCACTGGGGCTATTCTTAAATTTGCTAGGAATCATTTGTTTCTCTCAAAGTTGTATATACATGTATTCAGAGACTAAGCGTTAGTCTATCACACGTGTAATGCAAGCAACGATAAACGAAACTCGGAAACCTGCTCCTACCGTTGTCGAGCTATAGAGTTGTTCTGGTGACAATGTCTGCCCATTTCACCATTCTGTTTTCACTGTCCATTGTGAAAGTGGGACATACTGAGAGTGTGGAATGAAGGCAATCATGGCACTCAAATTGACTTGGACTCATTTAAACTGATCCGCAAAGAGCCTCATTTATCCCTTTAAAACGACAGATTGCAAAAAATTACTGAATATATCCATACGTGACATGTTGATTTTTTATGAAATCATTTCCTTTACACACCTGATTGACATGTGCTTGTCATGTTCAACGGTGTTTATCTCTTGAAAATACGCACATAAAAATATTAAAATTATATTTTGAATACCATTCACGCAATAGAGATGTCGTGCATGTACGTGTATTTACCACCACCATTTCTTTATAAATGTTTGTGTTGATGTTTAACGCTGTATTCTGCAATATCCCAGCTGATGGCGAGCATGACCATCCGATCCCTTTTAGTTTCATTTATGACAAGCTAGGATCCCAAATCTAATCCGATTCTTCCTGACGTTGTTCATACGTGTGTACAACTACCCAGTCCAGTGTTTTTTTCTGTCGGGCAAGCAAATTTGTATATCACACTGTACCGGTGTCCAGTTGACTTTCCAATGTTAATTATGTTGTTTATTTAAAAAATCAACAAGAAAATCGGCCAGTATAGTAGAAAAATTATCAGGGCAAGTGATTTTACATATGCCACTGTACCGGAGTACACTAGCAGTTTTAAAGTTATTTCCACCCCTGTAACTACCTCATCAATAGGCGTGGCTAAAAGAACTCGCAACACTTTATAAATCTCTACACTGTGATAGGTGTGTTTTTCTCCAATTCACAATCACGTGTCCAAAGATATGCAAAAAAAAAGCCTGGGGACAACAGAAAACTTCTCTGCCGCAATTCTAAATGAATAAAATTAATATTGCTTTTATAAGTTTATATCAACCAGAAACTTCATACTCGATGAAAGTTCAACATTCGTTTATAACTGCAAATGCATCCTCATCCCATCCTTTCCTTCAGCTATATAAATGTCATTACCACTATAACAACATATTGGTCCATGCTAATTTTCGTACAAAGTAACAAAAAGTTCACAAAGCGCAACAATCCAGATCTGATTTAGCTGTAGTTGTTTGTACAGTTAAGTGGAATCGTGCCTCTCTGAAAAAATCCGTATACGCTATAGGGTAATATCTCACGCACCGCCATTGAATAAATACCAAGCACTGAGCACCCCGAATAACACAAATATGCGAGAGTTACCTGCCTTTCCTGACATGTGACCTATATACGGTGTCTTGATTGGACGATTGATTAATAATCCTGTTGAGCTCGACAGGTAAATACAATATGACGTTTACACAGCAAAGATGTAGTTGAGCAGGTATCGGCATGTTTATCAGCCAGTTTCCATCCGTCCATGTTTTCGTCAGTGTGAATTATCTGAAAACTGAATACGAACTGCAGAAAGTGCTGGAATGAGAGATAATGGGGTGATTTTCGACAGGTGCAAGATCCTGTCATTGCGAAATGTCCATGCACGAACACTGTGCAGTGTGCGGTGCTTGTGCCAGATGATCGATGTGAGTGGGGACAAAATGGTGTCCCGTCGAAATCTCAACCTGTTTTATTAGCCCATATAAGGACAAGATCAATAATCGAAGATGACTTGAATCAAACTTGAATGTTTTCAAGGTTTGGATTTTGACATGGGCTATTTCAGAGGAAATGTGCAAAGAGAGCTTTGGTCATGTCATCAAGACTGTGTTGTGAAATCGTACTTTTGTTCCTCTAATTCGGATTACGGGGAGTAATGGAGCAAGTGGATTCTGTAAATATGTCGAGTAATTCATCACTGAGTGAAAATCAAAACTTGAGTATTATGGCGAAAATTGATGATAACAGTCGCCAGCCAAGGATTGTGTTCCTGGCTTTGTTCATCTTAGTCACTCTGATCGGAAATATATGTTTGATTATTGTAATTGTTCAGAACAAGAAATACAGAGGAACTGTTTCGAATCTCATCATCTTGAATCTAACCGTGGTGAATATAATGGACTCTGTGTTGAATATGCCGCTTGTGTTTGGGTCCTTGATTGCCACCGATTGGGTGTATGGAGATTTGATGTGTCGCTTTAATACTTTCTTCATGAACATTGTTATTGTAGAAACAGTATTAACATTAACAGCATTGACAATTGACCGATTTATTGCTGTCAAAATAATACCGTCCCGACATGGAAATATACTCAGCCCTTCACGCACGTACATTGCAATAGCATACACATGGCTTCATTCCTTTGGATTTAGTCTGCCATTATTGGCAGGTGCCGTGCCGTCCACCTTTAGGAACCAACTCCATCTTTGTTCAATTTCCAATTCTTCATCCCTATCATTCATTTGTCTTACATCAATAATTTGCTTTGTTGTTCCAGTTATTGCAATGGCCGTTTTATTTGCACTTATATTCAAAGCTGCATATAATGACCGATTTGTTGTTCGTTCCAAACTTGCTGAACACACTTATACTGAGAAGCGTGAAGAGAAGCCTCAGATATGGAAAGAGGTATCCATGGCCAAATATACGGGTGTGCTTTGATCATTTGGTTTGTGTTTGAAGTTCCCTATATTGTGACTGCATACATCAAGCAGTATCAGTACAGCCAGGAGTTTCAGGAGAATCCCAACCTTGGGCAGATTGATTACCCTTGGGTGGTGGATGTTACTTTTGTTTGGGTCAGGTTTGCATTTTCTGGCATTTTACCCATTTTGACATTTGCATGGAAGAAAGAGCTGTGGAGAAGCTGGAAAGATATGGTTTTATGTCGCCGGAGCAACTCGGTGACTGATTTGGAAACTTCTTCAAATCCTCATTTAAAGAAGAAGAATCTGAATGTTGCAAATATCAAAACTAGAGAGAGAGAAAAGATTGAGTCACCAAGTGCTTTGACATTTAATGTTCCAGTATTGTTTGCCACAGCCAATGGCATCCATGTACAGACTGAGGAAGGTAACATGACAGACTCTGATATTTTCTATGCTGAGATGCCCTCAACAACCAGATCCTCGTCAGAATTGAAATTTCTGAAGGGAAAGAAGTTGGATGTGAGTGCGTTAGAGTTTATTCCCCCAGACACAAGTGACTATGACTCCAACAGTGAGGATGATGTGCCCGATCAGTATTCACTTTCGCAGCCGATATCAACACGGCAGTTAGATCACAATGACCTTGACAAGGTCAGTCGGTCTTCATCTCAACCAGATGTACAGACTGAAAAAAGAAACAGCAGCAGAGTGTCGAGTGTACGACCTTTTGAAGGTAAGCTCACTGCTCTATCCTATGGGACAGACTCTGGCCTTGACCTTAGTGGCACATCACGATGTCATGAGGCTTTGACAAAGAGGAATAAACTCAACAAAGACAATCTGGTTAGCATGAATGTAGACAATGGGCAAGAACTACAGACATATGTGGTTTCAGGGGGGAAATTGGAGGATTCATGTGATAAGAAAGACTCTGCCAAATCTGATATAGCTCAAGATGTCAGCTCAACTTTTACTGTTAGTGATTCAACTGTTGAACAGAAATCCACTGAAAACTCACTTGGTGCAACATTTACTCATTCAGAAGTGCCTCAGCAAAGAAACTCCGATACAACCAGGTCATCACAACAATCAAATGTCACCAAAAAGCCACCATTGCACCTGGAGCCTTTGGCTTCCCCAACAAATGCTGATAGAAATGAATTTCCTCAGATCAGGAAGAAAAGGGTAAAACAAATGAAATCTCTGCAACATGGTGTAAAACCTGTTGGTGAACAGGAGTCAGTTTCAGGAAAGGATCAGGATGGTAAGGAATCCAGATCAGGAAACAAGAAGTCTTCCAAGCCTGGTCACAAAAGGCAAGGAACTGCTGACAGTCAGAGAGCTCTGCTTGGGTCATCCAGTTCAGCTGAACTCCAGGACATGAAAACTGAGTTGCAGAAGATGGAATCTAGGGCGGAACAGGTGTCTGTTTCGGGGCAGCGTGCAGATGGATCATCTGAGTTGCCAGCCACGTCTTCATAGAGCATCATGGACACACCTCCAAGGTAGGCCATGTGTTGTTTTAGCTGCACTGAGATTCTTTAGGGGAAAATGTTCAAATGATTTGTTGGTTTGTATCTTGTTTTTACATACTTATTAGAGCTGGTTATCATTGATTATAATCATCGGGATGGTCATTTCATAGTCAAATACCTTTAACTCCGTCAATTTAGTATGTCAATGTAAACAAGCTAAATGCATTGCCATTGGCTGACAGATTGCACTTGTGTAAAAAGAAAACAAGCAATGACAAGGTAGAATAAACATTTTAATGTATGTGCATCCAAATAATGATTATTTCCGATTATCGATCTGCAGTTTTTTTGTAATCGACAATCGTTTTTATTTTGACGTAGATCGAACGATTAACCGATCCTACGATTAATCGCTCCAGCACTAATACTTATATCTCTGCAATCTGTAGTCTGAGCCTGAATGTCCTGTTGTTGGCATCAGGGTCCATGATATATGCTCAGGGTTTGTTGTTTAACGTCCATGATATTTGCTCTGGGTTTGTTGTTTAACGCCGCACTAAGCAATATTCCAGCTATATGGCGGCGATCAGTAAATAATTGAGTCTGGACCAGACAATCCAGTGATCAACAGCATAGGCATCAATCTATGCAGTTGGGATACGATGACACATGTCAACCAAGTCAGCAAGTTTGACCACCTGATCCCGTTAGTCACACTTACAATAAGCTTGGGATACTGAAGACCAAACCTGGATCTTCATGGGTAACTATGATATATGATCACTGGTTGCTGAAGATAAATCTGATTCCTATGAATGCTGTGACTAAGGAATTGGATGGACAACACATGCGACAAGTCTGATTTTCTGTTAGTGTTCCTTAGATGTTTTAAACTACTGCATTGTTGAGCTGAACTTCATTGTTTACTGCTCACCATGATTATGATAACATAGAAAAGGCTTGAATACTTACTATTCTGGCACAAAATACATGATCACCATTTCCCAAACCAAAAACAATAAATTGATCTCAGATATTGTAGTGTTGACAAACTGGACTGCCTTGAAACTGTTGGGTTCATCATAAACCTTTCCAGCTCAGGGTTTGAATTGTCTGCATTTTGGTTAAAGAATATTTGTGGTCATTCCCATTTAGTTATAGTTATAAGTAAAATCAGCAGCAAGACTTATTGGCGGGTTAATCCCCAATCTGTGAACACAATCAATTACCTGTAAAGATAAACTTGGGTCACATTAAACAAGGTTTTTCATGGCCAGTAGCACCTGCATATTTGATGTTCTAATTTCCTGAAGTACACGCAATGGGTTTAACATGTGTCATGTAAACTAGTAAGTACTTAACTGTATTAGCATAAAGAATACACTAAGTTTACATAATGATAGCATTGAAACGATAGATCAATGCAGTGTGTATTGTGATTGTAGAGTTGAAGGGGTCATGTGCACAGGTACTGCATATTTGTACCCCAGGTATGTTACTGTTTAAAGCCTTTCTGTTTACAGAAAGTACCCTAGCCAAAATCAGAGTACAGAAACGTACCCTAGTAAGAGTCCATTCCCCAATGCCATTTTCTTGATCGGAACTGCCATTCTGTTGTACTATAGATGCATTTGATTGCATTATACTAGTGACCATACTCAGTATATGATATTTCGAGATACACAATACCACTCACTATCAGTTGAACATTAACAGCTACAGTCCGGTTTGGTTTAGCGTTGCGGAACATGGAGTCATTCGTTGTCGTAGAGTACTGGATACATTTCTGTATTTTGACTTTGTTTAGGGTACATTTTAGTATACAAAATGTACCTTGGGTACATATTACATATTTGTAGTACCTGTGTCGACAATGATCCATTGAGCGTGATTAGAGGCTTACAATAATACATCAGGTTACAACTCCTGTGTTGCGATGGATGCGACTCATGACATTTCAAGTTGATGTAAAATCATGTGAATAATGAAACTGTTCAAGAACCAGTTATGCAGGTTTTCTAGTACTTCCTAGTTGGCTAAGGCAGTGGGGTAGCCTAGTGGTTAAAGCGTTCGCACATATTGCAAAGATCAGGGTTCGATTCCCCAGATGGGTACAATGTGTGAAGCCTATTTCTGGTGTCCACTCCCGTGATATAGCTGTAATATTGCAAAAAGCAGCGTAAAACAAAACTTACTCACTCACTACTAGTTGGCTATGATATGAAAATCTGCACAGTGCTCTGAACTTATATGTTTCTCCCATACAATGTCCCAACTTTGTTAACTGAAATTTGACAAGTGATTCAGGGTTGTTATTTATCAGCAACTTATGAAATAAAATAGTCCTGTATAGGAATACGAATCGTATTGCACCCATGTTATCAGGATGTGTATTGTTACATCTCCAGAATATATCATCACTTCCATTTTTTACATGTGTGTATAAAACCATGTTAAGTGTATTATTTCATTGTAAAATATTAAACCATTCTAAAAGTTACACTGTAACATGGTGTAGGAATGTTATGACACAAACAGATTCTGAAATATTTCTTTCCAATTATCTTTTTCGCAGTAATGACGTGTCTGAATAGCTTGTGAAATATACGTTAATTACATCTTGAAAGTCTAGACTACTCTATGTCCACAAGGCGTAAGACCTGTCATTAGCTCTTCTGTCATGTCCGCGACCCTCTGGATTCTGCTGGAGCAGTGATTCGTCTTCATGTCGTGACATGGGGAAACGCAATACATTTGTATGAAGATGATTATTCAGCATCTTGTCGTGTCCTGAATAGGAAATATTGGTCGAATAATTGTCAACAAAGGATCAATGTCAGGTAATAAGTTCTATATTTGGTACATGTGGCTGGTGTAGACACAGTGTGGATATGGGAGATAGCAGAGTAGTGCTGTGATGTCTCAGGCTGCCTCCAGTGATTATTGGTTATTCATTAACTTTCCAAGGGACCAATTGTGGTCAAAATCATGTGGTTAATGTTCCATAGGCAGAGCCAGTGGGGTTGGGGTGCAGGGGAGCACCCTGTTGTCCTGAAATTTTATCAAGTGACCATTGAAATGGTGAAAATGAAGTGTGTAAAACACACACACACTCACACACACCCAGCCCCACAATCCCACCCCCTCTCAAAAAGCTGTATCCACCCCTGTGTTCAATGAGGACATGAAACCTTTGTGATAAGAAATGGTTTTAATGGTTTTCAAGCATCTAAATTTAACATTTAATAGTTTTCAGTGTTTTAGCCTTTTGATCCAATCCTGGACATTTTATGTCAAAGAACAGTGTATTTTTTTTTTATTATCTGCTTGATTGGCTTTTTAGAAGTTGATGAATACGGTAATAACAAAGGTATGATACTATATGGATGACAACTTCTTTATTATATTATGAAGCGACATTTCTTGTACTGTTGTCAAGCAAGAGTATCTGAGTATCTGATATGAAAATGCAAGAGTATGTGTACTAATTGAAGTATATAAAAAAATTTAAAAATACACTATCTGATTTTTTATTATCTTGGCTTGTTAAAACTATGTTTGTTTCTATTCATAAGCAATAACCTAATAAAGGGACTTAACTTTTTGACATTTTGACATTATTGTGTTACGCAGCACTCAGGCTCCAACAACGCAGTGTGTTGCAATGTGGGGCTGTTAAGTAGGATGTGTAAGGCAAGCCTTACTTTCAATAGAGGCTGTTTAGGAGTTGACTAGGTCGTTCCTCAGCTGTGTTGAAAGCTTTATCAAATGATTGTGCAATAGGTTCATAGAAAGCGGGGTAGACTACTGTAGTGTAAGGTTGGTGAACTGCTCTTGTTACTGCGGTGTTGTAGTTGTGAACTTTAACTGTGTCAAGTTACCGTCAACTACAGTATTTCCTTGAAAGAGTGCCTTACAAGAAAACTATTTGAAGTTTGGCAGTGCTTGTGCCTTGATTCACCATAGGATTTTCACAGCTTATGATTTTGGTCCTCAAATAACTGCTTTAGATCTAAACATTCAGGATCACAACTGAAGAAATGTAGGTTTTGAATTGGTTTATAAATGTGTGTGTTTGTGTTCAACTTTGTGACAATAGGCCATTGCAAGAATTGTTTCAGCATTGGCTATCTCAATTAATAATTTTTAACATCTGGAACTGATTTTACTTAGTCTTGCCAGCGGATCTGTAGATTTTAGAATAAAAGTGTTTCCAATATGTGTGACATATTCAGAAGAATACTAGTAACCAATTACCCAAACCGTTGAAAAAACATTGAAATTAACAAATACAATAAAGTAAACAAATGTGAAGTGAAACAGTCAAGCTTTATACATCATAAAAGATATTCTTGTTTTCTAAGGCCTAATGGCACGATTGGCCTGACAGGATGAGCGTAATCTGATAATCCACCCTCGAGTAGAGACTAGTTCATCGATCAAATAATACTCACAATAATGTGCAGATGTATTTTCCAGGATATTGTATTTCCTGATCGATGCCTGAATCTGACGTTGTTCCATCACATAGTCAGGTGATATCCTTACATACTTGGGAGAGTTTCTCAGTAGTCCAAAGCATTGATCACAGGATCAATGGATTAGGAATCAGTTGTAGTTATTGAAATATCGGTTATTATTTATTTAAATTCTAATATGTATCACTATTTCAGATTCTGGCCAATAAAAGTGATAACAGTGATTAAAAGAATTAGGTACCACCTTTGTTCCGACTGTCTTTAACAAAATCTTTGTATCACAAAATGTGACATCACAACCAAACATATGTATGTATATTAGCAGTGTTGAAATAGCCATTGGCAGCCCGTGGCTATAAACATCCAGTCAGGCCAATAAATTTTCACAGTCACTGGCCCGACTGGCTAGTGAATTTTCATGGGGTCACACACTGTATATTAGGGATGTCACAATACATAAGTTTCATGAATGTATCCGATACCCATGTCACGATTCGATACGTATCACGATACCTATTTTCATGGCATTATTCCGTAAATTTAGTTACATTT